AAGAACAGGGTACGAAAAAGAAACGTACCTCCCGGCGCACCATGCTACATTCTGACTGATCCAGAAGAATGTTCACCACAGTTCCCCAGAGCCCACCAGAAATATTCTGACAACTGTTTGCCAAGGACACACAGCCAGCTTCGAGAGTAGTTAGTGCTGATCCCAAGCCCAGTGAGGTGAATCTCACCTGTCAAGTTAAATACAAAGGTATCAAATCCAAGGATACTGTTCCCTAACAAGAATTCATCCTTCTAGTACATAAGATATTACAAATTTATAAATATGGTATTGACTTCACAAATCTAAATAAAGAACACCTATAGAAAACAGTATCCTACATATTTATGAATGAACAAAAATTCTGTATCATAACTAAAAAAACCTGATAATCTAAAAAAGGAAATTGGATTTAATCAAATGTTACATAACTTTAGAACTAGGTAGGTATATGGAAGTATAAAAAGTAACTGTACTTTATAAACTATTTTAGGGAAAACATAGGATACTTGCACATATCTTTTAACATAATTTTTATTTATTCTTCTTAAAAAATACCATTTTACATTTTTTATTGTTTTTGCATTGTTTTCCAAATAAATTGCTTGAACTTTTTAAAAACTGTTTCAAAACTACATAGCTGAATTATATCTCTTTATGCGGCATTACTATTTTCTCCAAAATTATTTTCAGAGAAAACTGTTTCAAATAGAGTCAATGTGGTATAATAATGCTGGCCATAGTACAGCTGCTATTTAAGTCACATACTTTGATGCATTTCTGAATTTTGACCCCAAAAAATTTCAGGATAACTACAAGGTAAAAATAACACAGTCACAAAACAGTCAAGTAGTAAGTCCAAGTGCAAAATGCCTAAAAATGCAAGTTCTAAGTTCAGACCAAACAATTTTTCTATAAAGTTTTTTTTTAATAGAATCTGGCCATTTCTTGTTTAACATCAGTGAAGTAATAGCTAAGACTACAAAGTTATCTAATATATATTGTTGTATTAAAATGACACTATTCACTAAATGGCATTTAAATGCCACTAGGCTTTAAAACTGCTGTAGGTTGGCCTTGGAAAGAGATATGTCATTTTCCACCCGCACCAAGAAAAGGTCATGTGCACACACAAAAGGAAGGTAGCTATTTGCACAGCAGGAAGGGCACCCTCACAAGAAACCAATTGTGCTGCACCCTGACCTTGGACTTTAAGCCTCCAAAACTGTGAGAAAATACATTTGCATTTTTTAAAGAGATTTACTTTTATTTTATGTGTATGAGTGTATTTCCTGTATGAATGTAAGTGCACTCATGTCGCATAATGCCTACGGAGGCTAGAAAAGGGCATCAGGTCCCCTGGAACCAGGTTTATGGATGATTGTTAGTTCCAATGTGGGTTCTGGGAACTGAACCCGGGTCCTCTGCAAGAGCAGCCAGCGCTCTTAACTGCTGTACTACATTTCTGCTTTTTTTTTTGAGACAGGGTCTCCCTGTAGCCCCAGCTAGCCTGGAACTCGCTATGTAGACCAGGCTGGCCTTGAACTCACAGAGATCCACCTGCCTCAGCCTCCCGAGTGCTGGGTCTACAGGCATGCACCACCACACCCAGCTCATTTCTGCTTTTTTAAGCCACCCATACTACAGTAGTTGTTATGGCAACCTGAAAACATAATACAGACTTTTATACTAAGAAATGGAACAAATGAAACAAATTTGTTTCTGAAACAAATACCTAAATATAAAGAAGTGACATCCAAACTGCACAAAGGTTAGAGGTCAGATTTTTGAGTCATGTAATAGGAATATGAATGTGAAGGTGACTCTGGTGTGATATCAGACAGGAATGAAGAACATGTTAGTGGAAACATGGTTTTGGAAGAAAAGAGATCCTTAAAAGGTACTGCTATGGCTTAGATCAATTAGCCTCAGGTGTATATGTTATAGGCGTGGCCCCTTGTCCATGCAACTACTGGGAGAAGGCAGAACTGTTAAAGGAAGCCTTCTGATCATTCAGTAGCAAGCCCTTGAAAGGGATATTTGAAACCCTGGCCCTTCTTTCTTTCCCTCCCTCCCTCCCTCCCTCCCTCCCTCCCTTTCTTTTTCCCAGCTGCCATGAGATGAACAGTTTTATTACCTTATGAGTTACCATCAAGATGCTGCCATAGGCCCCAAAGCATTGGGTCCAATTGCCTAAGTACTGAAACCTTCAAACCTGGAGATGAAAATAGATCTTTCTTTTTGAAAAAATATTTTATTTTTATATTATGTGTACGAGTGCACTGTCTGCATGAATGTAAGTGCACCCATTCCATGCAATACCCACAGAGGTCAGGAGAGGGCATCAGATTCCCCTGGAACTGGAGTTATGGATGGTTGTTAGCCACCATGTGGGTGCTGGGAACTGAACCCGGGTCCTCTGCAAGAGCAGCCACTACTCTTAACTGCTGAGCCCTCTCTCTCCAGGCCCCTTTCTTTCATTTTAAGCTGTTAACTCTTATTCATTATAGTATTGGAAAGCTAGCTACACAAATGGAAGTAAAAGATGGTCCAACTGTGCTCAAGTCCTAGTGTTTATGGAAGGTAAAATTTGTGAGCAATGAAATTTGATAGGTAGTTGAGAAGACTTCTAAGTAAAATGTTGGAGGAGTATATTGATTCCTCCTGAGTGCTTATAGCAAAATGCAAAAGGAAATATAATTTGAATAGATATTAAGGACAAATAAGCAGAAAGGACCATAGTAGAGATTCAGAAAATCCTCAGACTAACTAACCACGTACAAAATGAGAAATCTTGTTCTAGAAAGACCGTGGAGGTATTCTGAATGTTATTTTGTCATCTCAGCAGGAGCCAGGAATGGAGATGGGAGAGTGTCAGCAAAGATACTGCCAATGTGAACTTCAGGAGTTGAGAAAAGTGACTGGAATGAAGGGAGCCTGGGGGACTTGGATTCCATAGGCCCAGTGAGATAGGCTTAAGAGGTAGGCCCACCACCGAGTTTTGGGGAGCTAGAAGCTAAGACTATTACTCCAGTGGGCCTGAAATCCACAGTATCAGGACAAAGATTTAAGCCTTAAGCTCTAATGGAATTTGCCTTCCAGATTGTAGACTTGCTTAGAAAATTATTACTTTCTTTCCTATTTCTTGCTTTTGGACTGGGAAAGTACAATCTATGATTGACTATTCTAGCATTAAATATAGAAATACTTCTATGGTTTCACAGATTCACAATTAAGAACAAATTCTTTCCTCAGGATGAATTGCACATGAATTCTCATGTATTCTTGATTTACATGATATTCAGATAAGACTTTGGACTTCAAAGCTTAAAGTTGATGTTGCATTGAGTTAAGATTATTTTATCTATTGATTTGGAATGAATGGACTTTGCGAGAGAGAAGAATATGGAATTTAATGGACTGCATAGAAAGCTATAATGAACCATGACCCTCCAAATATCAATGAAAGCCTCAATGACCAATGTAGTTTGGAAATAGGCCTTCTACAAGATAATTAAGATGAAATGAGGCTGTAAGGGTAAGGCCCTACCCCAATAGGACGGATGACTTCACTACACATCTAAGGAAAAGCCATGTGAACATACTGAGTGAAGGCAGATATATACAAGTAAAAAAGAGGACTCATCAGAACTTGGTTATACTTATGCGTGAACTTTTGACTTTGATCAAAAAACCTATTTCTCTTATGGAAACCACCCAGACTACAATGCCTAAGGGAAGACAGAAGGCTAAACAAACCACAAGCTATAGAAACTATAATAATCTCACAATATTACATGAATATGTATAAACATTTCTATTTTTGTTTCCATTGCTGCTCTCTACATACAATGGACGTGGTTCTCCTTTATACCAACCTCTGGGTCTCGATCAACCCATAATGGGATTAACCAGGCCAAGCCTTGCTGTGCAGGAGAGTGTTCTTCACTGTGACTACCCAAAGGCAAGAACCAAAGGGATATCCACTCCTAGAATGAAAGGGGGAGATAGAAGAGCTTCAGACAAGTTTAGAGTTAAAATAACTCTAAATTTTTTAAAGAAAGATCAAAACAAAGTAAAAAGATGTTTATAAGAAAGGTTTATCAGGCTGAAGAGATGGCTCAGCAGTTAAGAGCACTGGCTGCTCTTGCAGAGGACCTGGGTTCAATTCCCAGCATCCACATGGTAGGTAGTTCAGTTCTAGAGGATCCTATGCACTCTTCTGGTCTCTGAGGGCAATGGATGGCACAATTGCATTTATATGCATGCAAGCAATACATTCATACACCTAAAATTATTTTTAATAATAATAAAAAAGAAAAAGGTTTATCTATTATTTGATCAAAATTAAAAAATGAGAATTTTAGCATTTCTTAAACATAACAGGTGGATGATTTCAAGTACAATAAAAAATTTTTGAATGTGTATAAATGAGTATTTGCCTCCATGTATGAATATGCACCATGCCTGGTGCCCATGGAGGGCAGAAGAGGGCACAGGATCTCCTGGAACTGGTGTTACAGATAGGTGTCATCTGCCATTTGCATGCTAGAAACCAAACTCAGGTCCTCTGCAAGAGTATAGCAAGTACTCTTAATTGCTGAGCAATCTCTCCAGTCTCCAAAACAATTTTTAAGTACAATTCAGACATGTACAATATACAAGTCTGCAAACATGCTGTAGTTAAAAATAATTGCTTTTCCTAAAAGATTTAATTTTATCTGTGTCTGTGGGTTGGCATGTCATGTGTGTTTGGGTGCCCGTGGAGGCCAGAAGAGGATATATATTCTAGAGTTGGAGTTACAGATAGCTGTGAGTCACCCAATGCGGATGCTAGGAACCAAAACTCAGGTCCTCTGGAAAGACAGCAAGTGCTCTTAAAACTAAGCCATCTCTCCAGTGCCCTCAAAATAATTCTGATCTTAAAAATGAGACAAAAGAAACATTTTCATATGGCAAGCTTATAGGGATGAAATGTATTAGACACAGCACACTCTTTTTTAAGCCACTATTCAGATGATGGCAGCTTGTTATGCTCTCACCGAGCTTGGAGCCTGGGCCATCATCTCATGGGATAAATGAAGTAAGCAAAGAACAGTGCTCTTCGTAACACCTTTTCCCATGAAGGACATAGCATTCCCTCCGCGTTCCACATAAAAAGAAGTGATGACCTAGAAAGCAAACACAATTTCATCACGCTTAACCTCTTAGAGGAGGATAAATATCTAACTTTCTCTTGACTTATCTAATCAAATCTTAGTCACATAAAGTTATAGTGTTCTTAGCTTATTTATTAACAATGCCTACAGTGATAAATTGTGTTATGTGTATATTTCTATAGTTTTAAAAATGTTCTTAAAGATTTTTACCCCTGGGATTTGTTCAAAGGATGTTGAGTGCCTTCTCAGGACATTTCTGAGATTTAGAATATACACTTAATATTTAAAAATATATATTTTATTTATTATTTTTATTTTCATGTGTTTGAGTATATTGCCTGCATATACTCAGTGCACCCATGTCATGAAATGCCGTGGAGGTCAGAAGAGAATATACATTTAATATTTTTAAATGTTACAACATCTTAAATCAAAGAGTTTATAAATACATGGTTATGTAGCTGGACTAGAGCCATCTGGTCCCTCGAATATAAAATCAAAACAGAGAACCCAAAGCCTAGAACAACTAGCTTTACATACCCCAAAAGAAAACCACAAAGGCACATCAAGATACTAACAGAAACAAACTTAAACTAAACAAAGGAAGGTTTGAGTCTCATACCAGAACTACAAACAAAAGAATCCACATGCCAAAGTAACAGCGAAAAAATAATATGAAAAACCCAAATACTATGTCTCCACCAAGCACCAACAGTCCTATAGAGAAAATCTACAATGAGAACGTCCTAGAGATAACCCAGAACACAGAATTCAAAAGGACAATTATAAACATGATCAAAGAATTCAATAAATTTTAAGAACACACAAATCAAGAACTAAAAGAAGATAGGGATAAACTTCTGGAGGAATTCAGAAAAGAGCTAAAAATACTGAAGACTACTCAGGCTGAAATGAAGAAAGAAGTGAAACACTCAGTAAGCCAATTAGAAACGACAGGAGAAAGCCTCACCAATACAATGAATGAAATGGAAAACTGATAAAGTTGACAAACTGGATCACTCAAGCAAGATTAGGAAAAATTTAAGAAAACATAGGAATGGAGTATGCAGGAAATGTAGGACACCATGAAAAGACCAAATGTACACATCATAGGCACAGAAGAAGAATCTCAGGATAATGTTATGGACCAGATCTTCAACAGGATTGTAGAAGGAAATTTCAAAAATTTAAAGAAAGACATGTCTATACAAATACAAGAAGCACATAGAACACCAAATAGACAGGATCAGCAAAGAAACTCCCCATGGCATATCATAGTAAAAACACTAAATGTACAGAACAAAGAGAGAATACTGAAAGCAGCAAAAGAAAAACAACAAATCACATACAAAGGAAAGCCCATCAGAATTGCAGCTCACTATTCAGTGCAAACTATGAAAACCAGAAGAGCCTGGACCAAAGAATTGCCAGGTTTAAATGACCAGAGACGCCAACCCAGAATACTTTTCCCAGCAAAAATGTCTATTATAGTTGAAGAGGAAAAAAATTTTTTGCCATGACATAAACAGGCTGAAAGAAAACATATCCATAAAACCAGCCCTTCAGAGAATACTTGAAGCAATACAAAGAGCTGAAGAAAGGAATGACTATATCCATGGGGTAACAAAAAGACAACTAAATGAAGGTATACCTATGGAAATGCATAGTTAGACCAAGAATGCAAACAGAAATTAAATAACAGGAATCAATATACATCCTTCTATAATAACTTTAAATATCAATGGACTGAAGTCCCCAGTCAGAAGACACAGGCTAGTTGAATGAAACAAAAGCCATCTTTTTGTTCTCTGCAAGAAACCCATCTCACTTTCAAGGACAGGCACTTCCCTTAGAGGGAAATGCCTACATTAAAAGCTCAAGTGCCTACATTAAAAATTGAAAAGGACACAAATAAATGACAACACTGCAACTCAAGATACTTGAAAAACAACAACAAATGAAACCCAAACCCGGCAGACAAGAAGAAATAACAAAATCAGAGCAGAAATTAATGAAATAGAAACAAAGAAAACAATACAAAGAATCAATGAATCCAAGAGCTGGTTCTTTGAAAAGATAAACAAGATAGACCCTTAGGCCAGTTAACCAAAAGAAAGAAAGAGCATCTCCAAATCAACAAATCAGAGATGAAAGGTGAAACATCACAACAGACAACAAAAATATCCAGAAAATTATTAGGGAATACTTTAAAAACCTTTATGCTATTAAATTTGAAAACCTAAAAAAAATGGATGTGTATCTAAAATCATGGAAATCACCGAAGCTAAACCACGAAGAGATCAATAGCTTAAAAAGACTCGTAACACTTAATGAAATTGAAATGGCAATACAAAACCTCCTGACTAAAAAAAATCCCAGGACCAGGTGGATTCATAGCAGAATTCTACCAGACATTTAAAGAAGAGCTATATCCAATACTACTTAATTTATTCAAAAAGTAGGAAACAAAAGGAGAACTTCCAAATTCCTTTTGTGAAGCCAGCATCACTCTAATAACAAAACCAGGTAAAGATACAACCAAAACAGAAAACTACAGACCCATATCCTTAATGAACATAGATGCAAAAATTCTCAACAAAATACTTGCAAACTGCATACAGACATAAAAAAGATCATTCACCATGATGAAGTTGGCTTTATTCCAGAGATGTAGGAATGGTTCGATACATGTAAGTCAAAAAACTTCATAAATCATATAAATGGACTCAAAAACAAAAACCACATGGTCATTTCAGTAAATGCAGAGAGGTTTTTTTGAAAAAATTCAACATGCATTTATGTTAAAAGTCCTAGAAGGAATTGGACTGAAGGGAACATGCCTCAATAAAATAAAAACTATATACAACAAATCCAAAGCCAGTATCATTCTAAATGGAGAAAAACTGGAAGCATTCCCATTGAAATCAGGACCCAGACAAGGCTGTCCACTATCTCCACTCCTCTTTAACACAGTGCTTGAAACTCTTGCAAGAGCAATAAGACAAGAGTGGGAAATTAAAGGAATACTAATTGGAAAAGAAGAGGTCAAATTATCCCTTTTTGCAAAGGATATAATCTAAGAGATGCCAAAAATTTCACCAGAAAACTCCTCAAAATGATTAATGCTTTCAGTATAGTGGCCAGTTCTAAAATTGATCTACAAAAATCAGTAGCCTTTAAGACATTAAAGACCTCTACAATGAAAATTTTAAATCTTTAAAAAGATTGAAGAAGACATGATGGAAGGACCTCCCATTGCTCATGAATTAGAATATTGTGAAAATGACCATCCTACCAAAAGCCATTTATAGATTTAATGCAATGCCGATCAAAACCCCATGACATTCTTCACCGAATTGGAAAAAAGGAACCTAAGATTCATACGGAAGCACAAAATATCCCAGATAGCCAACACAACCTTGAGCACAAAGAGCAATGCTGGGGGAATTACTATACCAGATTTCAAACTATATTACAGATCTATAGTCATAAAAACAGCTTGGTACTGACACACAAAAAATAGACCCATAGATCAACAAAATGTAATTGAAGACCCGATCATAAATACATGCAATTTCAGTCACACTTGATATTTGACATTGAGGCCAAGAAAATTTCCTGGAGGAAATCGAGAATCAAGAAACCAAGTATCCCAATTAAAAGATGGGCTAAGGATCTGAACAGAAAATTCTCAAAAGAGAAAAATAAAGATGGCTAAGAAACATCTTAAAAGGTGTTCAACATCATTAGTAATTAGGGAAATGCAAATTAAAACCACTTTCCATCTTACCCCAGTTAGGCTGCCTAAGATCAAGAGCACAAATGATACCAAATGCTGGAGAGGACATAGGGAAAGGGGAACACTCCTTCGCTGCTGGTAGGATTGCTAACTCATGCAACCCCTATGGAAAGCTGTGTGGAAATCTCTTAAAAAAACAAAAATAAACCTACCATTTGACTCGGTTGTACCACTCCTTGGCATGTACCCAAATGAGTCATCCTATTGGAGAGACACTTGTACATCCATGTTTGTTGCTGCTTTTTTCACAATCACTCCCTCAACTGATGAGTGTATAATGAAAATGTGGTACATTTATACAATGGTAAATTTATCCAATGGAGGTACATTTATACAATGGAGTACATTTATACAATGCAGTAAAGAAATACAAAATAATGAAATTTGTAGGTAAATGGACGGAACTAGAAGCTGTTGTACTAAGTGAAGTAACACAGACTCAGAAAAATAAACACTGTATGTTCTCCCTCATATGTGGATCCTAGCACCAAATCCTTATATGTGAGTATGTATCCAGATGTAACTGCAGGAACCAGTATAATGAAAAGGAATCAGGGAGGTAAAGGGACAGAAAAAACTTCAGAACAAGAGGAGACAGATGTTACTAAGGGAGAAATGGATAAAAATGGGGCTATTTAAATGGGAGGCAGGGAGAGAGGGTTATACAAAGAACCTTAGGGATAAAGGAAAAGAAGGAGCTCAAGAGAGGTGGGACCACAGGAAAGTGGTATTATTAAAGGAGAAATGGGAAAATTGGAGCAATTTAAATGGGGAAACCATGGCGAAAGGGTTAGACCTGGAGAGAGTGAGGAGAGATAAATAATGCCTAGCTAGTTTTAATAAACCAGAGGGAATCATATTAGTCCAACAACTTAATGACAAATTACACGTACAATATCTCTACATGAGTCCATGTGTATAGCTAAAGGTTACATAATAAGAAACAGTGCCAGATAGAAGAAAACTTCCATGAGTTGTTGGCCAGGGTGGTCCAAGAGACTCCCCAAACTAAACAGGCTATTGTCACAGTCCTTGATTGCCACCCAGAACTTGAAGGTAAGACCCTATTGCTGAAGACAGAACATACTCGGACACAGGATTGGAGCAATAGAGCTGGAATTGTCCTGAAACCACTTCCCCTGAAGGCAAGCTCTCATAGCTTTGGAGTTTGGAGAGAACTAAGAAGGTGTCAAGGGAAAACATCAATTGATGT